AGGGAGAAAGAGGGAGAGAGCGAGTATGCACCAGTGAGTTGCCTCCACCATGGGTGCATCACCTGCCATATTTGCTTTTGCGAGGGAAGCTGCAACAGGTCATCTAGTAATTGGGGAAATCCTCAAGAACCTTGAAAGTCCGGAAGTTGGAGTGATCAAAAAGGGTTTTTGGCATAGGTTTTCGTTTGTTTTCTCCCATTCTGTGTGCCTGTCCCTTTGATGTCTGTGCTAAGCCCCCAGAGGGTATTTTCTTGATTATGTCTATCATCCTGACCTCTGCGGGCTCAGCAGGAGCACCGGGAATCCGAAGTCAGCATGGTCAGATCAGTAAGCCATGGCCTGAAGCAGTTTGATTGGTAATAGTGGTGTTGCTCTGTAATGGATATGTGTTGATTCATTGAAACATTTTGAGATTTAGTCATTTCTGTTTGTCAGTCTGCCTCCGTTATGGCAGACAGGATATGATCATGACAAGGCTTGTGCGAGAAAGGGATGATTTCAGCAACTGAGGTTTTGACTTTTGGGTTATTGATGTTTCTTGTGATATTTGGTTTTCCATGTCTGTTTCCAGAGTGCACTTCTCCCAGTGATTCATGCCAATCACTTATCTTGTTTCACCCGGAACCAACACAGAACATCACATGGATTGCAACGCTTTATGGAAACGAAGTGCGTATTGCGGAACAGAATAGGGGCTCCGACACATCGGCCAAGTGGTTTATACCTGTCCAGTGCTCCTGCTGGAATGGGATGTACCGGTCTTTAACAAGTTATACTGTGATGAAAGGTGACAGTCTGTACAAAATTGCGACATACTACCAGAACTTGACCACGTGGGAAGATCTGTTTGCTATCAATCCTCGCGAGGATGCAAACCATATAGAAGTAGGTGAGGCCCTTAACGTCAGCATTCCATGCAAGTGCAGTGCCAACAAAACGTATGTGACCTATGGTAGGCAGCAAGGAGATACAGAGGAGTTGATTGCTGCAGCTACAAATGCGAGCCTTGCTGATGTACAGGCAGCAATGATGAGAGCCAGCAACACCAGCATGGTTCTTGTACTTCCTACTTGTAGGTTACTCTTTACCCACCCCTCTCACTTCTTTACCCACTCCATCATGTCTAGACCCCTTCCTGCTCCCCTCCCTCCCTCT